TAAAATACAATTACAAGAATGTCAGCTGTAACGACTCGTGCTTCCCTGTAAACAATGTGATTTTGTAAGTACTTTAATAGATGGAGAGAAAATAATTCCCTGATGCTCTTTACTACCTGCTAGCTCGTGCTAGCCTGGAAGATTACATTGCAAGAATGCAATCCCTTTTATATCACACCGAAATACACATCTAAATTAGAAATCACTTGCCATCATTCTTCATGCTACAACACATACTCTACACACAACTGTGCACATTTTATACTCTCATTTAACAAGTTTGCCAGCATAACACCAATCACAACATGTTTTTCACTTATCATACCTCCTTGTTATAAGAAAGAATTCTTCATACAAACCAGATATGTACATTAAAGGGGAAACTTTTGAATTCACTGTAGATGAATGGAAAACTCAACAATCTTGAAAACACTACAATAACTTACTATACATCACTGTATTTATTACACACACAAATAGAATGCCACACTAGAGAATTTAAACTTCACTATACACTCAACATAATTGTAACAAAAACAACATACAAAATACTCACCAATCTGTCACACAGAACTAAGAGCAATAATTCTTCATACAAACAAAATATGTACATAAAAGAGGAAACTTTTCAATCCACTGTGGATGGATGGAAAACTTAACATTCTTGAAAACACTACAATAACTCACTACACATCACTGTATTTATTACAGACAAAAATAGAATGCCACACTAGAGAATTTAAACTTCACTATACACTCAACATTATTGTAACCACATCAACATACACTATACACACCACTCTATCACACAGAACTGAGATAAAGAATTCTTCATACAAACAAGAAATGTACATAAGAGGGGAGACTTTTGAATCCACTGTGGATGAATGGAAAACTTAACATTCTTGAAAACACTATAATAACTCACTGTCCATCACTGTACATATTACACACCTCAATAGAATGCCACACTAGAGAATTTAAAGTTCACTATACACTCAACATATTGTAACCAAAATTACATACACTATACACACCACTCTGTCACACACATCTAAGACATATATTCAAAAAATAACTTCATCAATGGGAACTAGAAATTCACTTTGCACCCTCTTCTTACTAGTACTTATAATACTGCAAAAAATATATATTTCTGAATAATAACCTACACACACGTGTAATTTCAGAGGCTACATACCAAAACTGCACCCTGTTTTCTGTCATACCATATATGCACTCATATAATCTATTTCACTCTCTATCCATATAACCACTAAAACACAATTTTTGCAAATCACTCTTCATACTTCACACGAGATTATTAATAATAGTGCAAGAATAACCTCAAAGACACATGCCCTTACCTAACACCCACTATTCTTATACGCACTTATTTCGTTAAATCAATAAATGTACGTTATGGTGTATTCTTCCTTCACACATACTTCAGTTTCATGGTTCAGAGGGAAAACACTTCGATTTCGTTGTGGAACAGAGGAAACACATGTTCCTAAAATTTGCTGCACTCGCCATTATTCGGTCCAGGATAATACACCCATTAAAGCCCTACATTTGCACTATCTCACTGAATCTTTTACAATACAATTTCAGGCAGATAATTAATCACGACTTGTACATACATGTATATAAACATACACATAACACAGTCTTATTATTTATAAACATCTCTTCATACCAAGAAAGAAACATACCTTGATGGTGTACACCGGATATTTAGGTCACAGTGACAGGGCAGCCAACCTCTTAACATCACTGAAACAGAAACATTCGAATATCAGTTAGATTACAGGACGGTAATTTTTCACCCTAATTTTTACCCATTTTCGTGTATAATATTATTCTACTACCTATCAAGGAAGGGAAATTCGGGCGAAGCAAATGCCCAGCAGTCACTGAATTGGTCGCGTATCGACACACGGGAGGACTGGAACGATTCAACTGACAATAAAGATTTTTCGTCATAACGTTATGCCATTCGAGGGAAGCATTATGCCATAATATATGACACTCAGTAATCATTTGCATTACCGTGGGGGATTCGTAAACTCTTGAGGTGGAAGCTGCGTTCTCGATACAATCTAAGATATCACGTAGCAATAAAACCTCGGAATATAAGAACATAAATTGATAATATGGGTAGAAAAACATTCAACACGCTCAATTTCATACATAACGTCATATTTCGACTTATATTAGATGTTACGACAGTCCTGTATGGCGTTCAGTTAAATAGCAGCTTCGTATATGACGTCACTCTTAGGTGTGCGCAATGAACTACTGCGCACCCACCTGTAAATCATGGGACTGGGCCTTGGATCTTATATGTTAAGTTAGGTTGGTCAGACTAGGTTGGGTTCGGTTGCGCAGTAGACTACTGCGTATCGAACTATAACACAGGGGTACCATTCGCTGATGTTAGGTTAGGGTAAGTGAGGTTAGGGTAATTTGGGTTGGGTTTGGTTATGTTAGGTTTGCGCAGTAGACCACTGCGAATCCATCTGTACCATGAAGGGGGGTGAAGCTGGTTAATGTGTGTTAATCTTAGGTTGTGAGTTTACATTATGATAGGTATGCGCAAACGACTGTTGTGCATCGTTATGCTCAGTTGAGCAAAGTTTAGCCGTCGGCAATATCTTAAGATTGAATGTCTCTGATAGCGTATGAAATAATTATACAGGATTATTAAAAAAGAAAAAACCGATTTCATGACGCATTGCTTTAGTTTTCAAGCATCGTCATGGAATGAGTCAGTGACCATTTGAAAGAGGAATTATCTAAGTTGTGAATGGCTACCACAGGGGCGCTGAAGTCGCGTCGTTCTTGCGGCAACCTTCATTTGTTCCTTTACCCTCGGAATGGCGAGTCCTTAGCAAAATGTGTTATGCGTTCTCCAGTTCGCGAAACAAATTCGGTTGTCACGATGCAGCGTGCTTTTCGAAGGTGATTCGTCTTTAATCCGCCCTGTCCTAAGAACCTCGATGACCTTAAACATCGAATAACAACAGCGATTAACTCAGTGCATCGTGAAATGCTGATACGCGCCTGGGAGAATTGCTCTTATCGCATTGATGTTGCCCGTGCTGCAGGTGGTGGCCATACTGAACACTTGTAAGAGAGGAAAAAAAGTTGATTGTGAGTAGAATTCTTGTGACTTGGCTGGAGTTTGGTTTTACTTTCCTTTAATAAAATATTGCGTAATAAAATCAGATCATTGTTTTTTAATAACCCTGTATATCTCTGAGTTAACAGTAATAAAAAATGCTGGCTACTTGCTGTTGTGTCTTAAAATTCACAGATGTTCCACAAAAAAAAATAATTTTCTGTTTACTTTTAAACAGTCCATAATATTTCTTCTCCCTCGAGCTCTACAACTATATATATATATATATAGTGAGACCTGGGACTTTGAATGATTTCATTTTCGAACTTGAAAATCGAAACGGATTTTGAAACTCGAACAAAAACTCGATAGTCCAGCAAAGAATTACAGGTCGTCACGCCTTGTGGAGAAGTGGCGCCCCAATACCGCAGTTGTGAGCAGGAGTGCCAACCAGTTTAATGGCAATGTAATGCAACATTTCAGAAAAGTTTTAAAAAATAGAAAAAACATATGACATTAGAAAAGTTTCTCTGCAAAAGAAAAACCAAGTGGTGGTAATGTTAATGAACCACAAGTCTCAATAGTGGATTCTAGATGAAAGAGCAATTCACCTTCCAGTGAACAGTAATATCCTTCCTACTATTACTGATTGATTATTGTACAATATTTTATGTAGGTACTGTTATAAATAATATATTCAATTATTGAAATTAAATATACTTACTTTATCATTATTTACCAATATTATCTTTTGAAATAGGCACTTAAAATATTTCATATTGGATAAATTTTTGGGGTCTGCGACTGATTAATTCAATTTACATTATTTCAAATGGAGAAATTTAGCTCGAAACACGAACCGTCTCCTGGAATGGATTGTTTTCGAAATTAGAGGTTCCACTGTATGTGGAAAATGCATTAATTATGTGAAGGTTTCCTGAACATAACAAAACTCTGTCAGTTATTCTGTATGACATTGTCTGCGGTTTTCACCATATTTTCCTAAAATTCAGATATCTGCGAATTCCGTACTCTTCCATTTTAGCCCCCTCCTCTGACCACACAATCTGCTCTTCTTGTGTTATTTACACACGTTTTTAATTTTTTACGAAAAGCCTGAGTGTCATTTCCATTTACTTCTATAGGGACTTGCACTCCAATTAAATTTATCACTCCACTGCCAGTTTTTAATTAATATTCATGTGACTTCCCTGTCTGATATCGAGGCATATGAGGCCAGTATTCTCTCCATATTTTAATTATTAAACCTTCTCCAGTGAATCTCTGTGCTGTGCGGAAATTCTAGAATGCTGTGGCATATACAGCAGTTGCCAAGCTGTAAACAGCGGCCGTTAATAGGTAACGGTCGAACATACACGCACGCAATAATAGATCAACGCTTCTAAGCAACGGATCGATAAACGCGCCTCTACAGCAATAGTTATGTTAGCAAACAGTGTTTTCTATTCAGTCCGTGCAAACTGATTATAAGAAAGACAATTGGAGCGACCCGGTTAGTCGACATTTGAGCTCTGCAAGGTAGGGTGGGAAGAGATGGCTCTATAGTTCAGTCGACAGTCCCTAGTGTACATCTCGCTTTCTTTCTTACGTACAATTTAGGTTTCATTTAACATGAAATGAATTCTACAGATCATACAACGTCTATACATACAAAACTTGTCATAATTCAAGCACTGAGACTCTCGCTTATAATTATAGGATAAATTATACTGAATATGCAACAGGAAAGTGACGTAGGGGCAGAATTTTCGGCGATGCTTGCAATTCCCCTTGATGTATTCTGGCAGTCACTGTCCTTCAGAAATATCAGTCCCATCTAAAATAAAAGCTGATACAGAATTAGGCCCATTTCACACCAAGCCAGTCCCGTCACGTCCAGTCCAGTCACGTCTAGATCAGTCAAGTCAAACCAGTCAAAAGCTTTCACACTGAATAAGTCAAATCATCGACAGTCTTTTGGGAAGTATCTTTGAAGATGGATGTCATATTAAGTGCAATAATAATTCGAAGGTTGAGAAGACGAAGACTTCAGCGACGTAGATTTTGGGTACATCCTATAAATATGAAACGACCTATGCTAGGATCATTCAGTCATCTATTTCCGGACTTATTAAATGACGAAAAGAAATTCTACAATTACTTCAGAATGAGCCCTAATAACTTTTTCACATTGCACAGTATGATTGTTGATGAAGTGAGCAAGCAAAGAACAAATTACAGGGAAGCCATTTCTTCAGAACAGAGGCTGGCAATATTTTTAAGGTAAGAGAACAGATAAGAATGAAAAACAGAAATTTTATCATTTTAAATTTATCTGTTTATTTATCTGATTTTTTACATCTAAAAAGTAACATCATTTATAGGAGGATTATGGTCCTGGGTGAATGTTGGAGTCGGAGTAGGGGCAGATGGATAAGAATTTGTACCAGGGGAATATGGATTGGAAACTGAGGAGGCGGACAACATGCCAGTGTGATATGGATAATTTTGATTGAAATGCAATTTTTGTTTTAGCAAACTAATAACTTCTTCTTTAAACTCTAAATTTTTAAGTGGTGAAAGTTGCTTTATCGAAGGCAGTAAACTTCGCAGAAACATCAGGTCTGGGTCATTGTCATCTTCTGCCCTCTTAGCTATTTTGTTTAGATGCTCCAGGTACATTTCATCCACATCACTAGCTTCACGTGTTCTTTTTTTGCCTCCTCGCTTAGTACTTACTGGAGTTTGGTTATTGAAGCCTGCTTGGCTTTGCACTTCCCTGGAAGCTTCTGGTTGTTCTTCGTCAATAATCTGTTCATCATTGTCATCCCTTAAAAGGATATCACTAGGCACATTCCCGGACGTTTCCCTCGCCTTAAGTGTTTGGTCCAAGAAATTCATGGATTCCATAAAAGGCCATGTTGTTTTTGAGCTTTGTGCTCCAGAGCCTGATGGTGGACTCTTCAACTTCCTCTTCTCTCGCATATAGTTGCTTCGCAAAATTTGCCATTTATTTTTCACGGTAGCATCTGAAATATAAATAAAAGACTTCAAATATAGATTTGTCAATGAAATAAAATGACAGGGACTAAAACCTACAAGGTGTTGTCAATATTGTTTTTTAATAATAATAATAATAATAATAATAATGCACATTTAAATATCAACACAGATATTTTGCTTTATTTCAGATACTTGGCAACAGGGGAAACATTCACCTCTCTAAGTTATGCCTATCGCATTGGAATATCTACTGTTCATGAAATAATAAAGGAAATGAACACTATAGTATGGGAAGTATTAATGCCACTACATATGCCTGTTCCTACGACAGTACAGTGGATTGATATTGCTAAATCCTTCTATGAAATATGCCAAATGCCACACTGTATTGGCGGTGTTGATGGAAAGCATTGCCGAATACAATGTCCACCAAATGCTGGCTCACAGTTTTATAACTACAAAGGTTTTCATTCAGTAGTGTTGCTAGCTGTGGCTGATGCAGAATGTAATTTCATTTTAGTAGACGTAGGTGGATTTGGTAGAGATAATGACAGTAAGATATTTTCAGAATCTGCCATGGGGAAAGCGTTCAATGGAAACAAATTAAATATTCCTGCTCAACAGAACATTATTGGAACAGACATTGAAATGCCCTTTTATTTTGTGGGGGACGAAGCATTTCCTTTGCGAACAAATTTGATGAGGCCCTATGCTCGTAGACAACTCAACAATGAAAAGCGACTCTTTAACTATCGCTTGTCTAGAGCTCGGCGAACTGTAGAGTGTGCATTTGGCATTCTGGTGAGAAAGTTTGGACTGTTTACTCATTCTATATCAACAAGTTTAGAGTTAGCTGAGGCTTCAATAAAAAGTGCATGTGTATTGCATAATTATACACGGAAGCGACAGAACGAAACAGAAAGAAACTTGGAGAGAGAGTTCTTAGAACAAACCAATGTTCCCCCTCTTATCGGTTTGAGGCCAACACCAGCTCATAGGGGAGCAACAGAAGCTATCGAGACAAGAAATAAACTGACTGCCTACTTCTCGAGATGATGAAACACAGAAGCAATCGAAACAAGAAATAAACTGCTTACTTCAAGGGGACGATATAATTTAAAAAGAAATGATTTCTATTTGGTATGTAATTTTTTCATTATTTCATTGAGGCGGTAGCCAGAAAACAGGCTCATAGGTCTGTGGACTCTTCTATCGGAGATCTATCCATTAGCTGCATTTGTCAGTTATCTGAAAGTGTCTCAAGTTTGGTGATTTCAGATTGTGTGTCAACGACACAACAATCAGCTGTGTTATAATATAATAATTTTAAGCCTCTTGAAAACAAGAAAATAAATTAATAAAACCTCATACTTACCATCTGTGGCTAGTTCTTCGGCTTTTTCCTTCCACAAACTGCTGATGAAATTGCGGTCTCTATGTTTTGCCTCTTGTGGATCATAAATTTCACGCCGATCGCGCACCAACAAAATAAGATGTTCTACATCCATGATTAATACTCAAAGTCGTTCGACATTCACGGTATCAGCACGACAGATGACGGGCCAAGACTGAAGAATAATTCAACCTCCTGAGTCACGGACTTGACGCTGTATGACTGGACGGGACTGAGCTGGACGGGACTGGTTCGGTGTGAAAGCGCATGATCAGTCCCGATAACAAATGCATTTGTTTGACCGTGTGTTGAATCCGAGAGCGTCAGACTCGACTGGACTGGACGTGACGGGACTGGCTTGGTGTGAAATGGGCCTAAGGGAAATCAAATCTACTGCTGCATTTCACTCCAGGCAAACGTACGTAGAATGATCATATATCAGCTGAAACTGGTAAAATTAAAAATGAAAGATTTGGGGTTTTCACGTCGGTGACTATGAAGAATGCCGTCTTCTGGGATGTGACGCCGTGTAGATATTGTGTCCAGTGACGTTTAGGAGCAATGCTTCGCCTCCATCTTCAGGATATAAGAAATCCGAGAACGAGGAACCAGCATGAGCAAGTGGCTGCAGCCCGTAAATTACAGTCTGCAGCGACCTGCTCACGCTGGTTCCTCGCACGCGGATTTCTTATACCCTGAAGATGGAGGCGAAACGTTCCTCCGAAACGTCGGTTAACACAATATCTACACAGCGTCACATCCCAAAATACGACATTCTTCAAAATTAAAAATGATGAACGATCAGACTTTCGGAATAAGTATCAAGACGTTACGTCACGATATTTGCTGTACTTTCGTATAAACTGAAAGCAATTTAAAATTCGTAGGAAAGAACATGGAGTTTTACATGAGAGATATTTATATGTGAATAAAACTTACAGCAAAGTGTTTGTATTTATTTTAATTTAATTTTAATTTTATTATAACTAATTGCCATATCTCTACATTACTTTATGTTGTGAATACGAGTAAATAAATCTCTATTCATAACTAGGGTTTAATGCAGAAAACAATCCATTTTTCTTTACAAATTGTCAATCCTCCGCGTCTTAGAAATACAGTAGCATGAGTTTCTTAAGCTATAAGAAGTTCTTGGAAGAACAAGTCACACACCTTCCATTGACCATAAAGTGAGCATTTGATAAAAGTGGGCCAATTTTTTATCTGTGGATAAGTTGGGGCACGCGGTAGCGTAATTGGTTGAGGTACTATACTGCAAGTCGGAAGGCCGCAGTGTCGATTCCTGATGAGATCACTAGATTTTTCACTTTACTTAATTCTTCCAGCGGCACTATGGGGGTCGACTCAGCCTCTAACAGAAATGAGCACCAGAAAACTTCCTTGGGGTTAAGGGCGGCTGGCGCGGAAGGCTGACTTCACCGCCATATGTGAGCCAACTATCTAGAAACTGTAGGACCCTGTCTCACAACCCTATAGGCCTCCACGGCCTGTTACATTTATGGGTAAGTCAGTAATTGACACAGGAATTAAAACCTAAATTTGTGTAGAACATGAATTGTGCATGCATTAAAACGTAGGGCCAAGTATGTCGTTAAAGTTGGCCTCAGGTGTCATATTGCCACGATCTGAGTGGCTATGGAGCGGGTTTGGAATGGCAAATGGATTTATCAACCGCTTATACACACGAACCGTAGGTACCGCTCAAGTAATTTGAGAACCACCACTAATCTCCGCACTTTACAAATCACCACAGCAAACGTTAAGCATTTTCCAGGCTGCTCTGCCTTCACTAGCCATATCCTGGCAAAAGCTTCGAAGAGTGCAGATTCTTGAGCTTCACGCGCTCAGGTCATCTTCACAGACTTTGAACCGTCTGAAGACGATTCAAATGGTTCGCCCCGTGAAAGGCGTCGTGGAATTGCAGTCAACCACAGCCATTGCTCATATATTTCTTGTAATGTTCTTTTTAAAGATGTCACGTGACCCTCCCCCTCTTTTTTTCCTTCCTCCTCCTCTTGTCGTGGCAAGATGACACGAACGATCGCTCTCTTTCCCGGGTGGCGGTCGTGCAGGGTGGTTGTGCCTGCTCTTAGAAATTTCTGTTTGGTTTCCTTTTTTTTTCTTCAAAATTAAATTTATTTTTGGAAGTCAGCGCGGTGTGTCCCGGGAGAGGGCCCCTTTGCTGAGCTATGGAGCAATGGCGAGGCAAAGGTGTTTTTTATAAATATATACGTATGGGTACCCTGTGACTACGTATACACATGTGACTATTATTATTATTATTTTCTTTTCTTGCTTGGTGAAATTAAATGGGCGGTGCCCCATGAGAAAGGTACTGGCTTGAATGACCGGAGTGGGTCATGCTAGGTTTCTTGTAATATCGTTTCTTGTATTCATATCATATGTTTTATTTCCTTTATTATTGTTAATGTATATTTATTTCGTTATTATATTATTGTATTGTTAAACTCAGTCAGCATTGCTCTCGAATTGTGCGTGTATTTCCCACAACAACAAGTGAATGAACTCCTCCCCCTTTCCCTCTCCTGAAATTTCGGACTGGTTACAGTCCGGGTAAATAACGGTTCAACTTCATTACAGAACTGCCTAATAACCGACTTTGTTCCTTGCTTATAATATCTCGGCACGGACCACGTAGTAACACCCCGTTTCCGTTGATGTAGTCCAACTGTTGCGTTATCAAGAATCTGCTACCTAGCAACGGAAATGTGTTTACCGAGACGTTGCTCAGAAATGCCGCTGTTTACAGAGCCACCATTTAGCAACGGGTCTATACGCCACAAATACATACCAAGCTTCATTATGTTCGGTTTGGGCACTGAAGTAATATTATTGGTATTACCTCAACTACTTGAGGAGCTCTAGTGCTAGTCTTACCGACAAGAGGGAGTCACAATGTATACTAGTGACATGGCCTCAAGTGCCATTGCATATTTACCAATTCCCATAATGATCAGTTCAGGAATTAAAAAAAAGTTAAGGTTATTACCTAAACAATGTGAAAGGCTGTAGGGTTGCTTTTACTAATGAGAGGGATTTGTGATTATGTCTGTTAGATACGCTCATGTTGCATAATATAAACACGCAGACTCGCAGACGGCAAGTCTTTTTCATTAGCTTACTCCTATTTTTTTTTTTTCAAAATAAGGACAGAAGAATAAAAGCGAAATGGACTATATAAGTTTATACTGAGTCAGTACTGGACGCGACTCAGTGCAAACTCCTTCAAATATATCCTAACCTATTCCCCTCCACGTCACTTAATGTCAATTTAAAAACGACCACTCTCAAACACCTCTAATACAGTTATCAATTGTCACAAACACAGAGAAGAGACTACGAGAGCATACTGAATAAGTGTATAGAATTTACAAGTTTTCAGTTTCTTTAATAGTCGATGAATATGTGAAAAAAATATTTCACCTTAGGTTAAAACAAGCTATCATGCATAAACCTCTCAAGGCTTCTAACACAGAAAGGATTAGAAAATATAACAAAAAATGGCATATGACGAGTTATATACAGGCCTAGGATCGTACCGACACATTGAAGGGCCAACCAACCAACTCGAGGCTATGAGGAAAGAACACATTTATGACTTTGAAGAAAGCAGTCTTTTGGGATTTGGCACCGTGTATATGTGGTGTTAACCGACGTTTCGGAGGAACGTATCGCCCCCATCTTCAGGGTTGAAGAAGTATAAGTAAATCTGCAAGCGACAACACCGTGAGACACGGTCAAGCAACTGCTTGACCGTGTCTCACGGTGTTGTCGCTTGCAGATTTACTTATACTTCTTCAACCCTGAAGATGGGGGCGATACGTTCCTCCGAAACGTCGGTTAACACCACATATACACGGTGCCAAATCCCAAAAGACTGCTTTCTTCATAGTCACCGCCGTGAAAGCCTCAAATCTTACACATTTATGACTTGTCTCGTAATGAATGAACTGCTTTGTACCAGGGTTGGGTCCCTTTGTAAATCTCTGCCCGAAGACTGAATATCACTGACTGAAGTTTATTGTGGTATCCCTCAACCATTCCAGGAGCTACTACTGCTCTCTTCAAATTCATTTCTAATTTATTATTCATTTATCATGCAAACATTTGACACTTAACTGCTAAAGGCTTCCTCAAGCAAACCACGAACAAGGAAAATGCTCTCTGCATCAACCAAACTGACAAAGTGTTGTAATGTTAAAGATATTTTTCCTTGCAATTTTTTTTTTTGCTTGAATAAATCAGAGCTATCAGCAACGACAACGATTTCTTTTGGAAACAAAGGACGTACATACGGCTGCAATTTCGATTGGGTGAAGGGGAGAGGAGCCTTGTTTAGAGAACAAGGCGAGTACAGCGACAATGAAACACAGCGGAGACATTACAAGCAACAGAAATATCCCACTTTCTTTACAAAGTGAGAAGACAGAAGAAAGGGTGAAAGAGTTCGAGGTGGAGTTAGGAATCTTAGTGTTGTGACGTCATTCTTCTAGACCAGTAGACAGAAAATGTACAGATATAGAAAAAGTAAGGGCAAAAGGATGAAGGGTTGGAAAAGAAATTGTAACTATTCTTTCTGCTATAAACTCTTGGGGAAAGAAGACGGACAAGGGAAACGCAAACAAGAGCATTCCATCACAAGTGCTCCATGCAGCATTTCTCGGTTTCAAGGGAGACATCATTTCATTTTAGAGTGACGTTAATGCAGTGAGGCAGGGACAGGTCTCACAGACTACATGCATATTTGTAACTTCTGCCTTCCTCTTCCGGGCTAGAGAAAACCGAGCTTCTGTCGAAGTATTTCTGTGGGTGACTGTACCGGTAGTCGCACTGTACAGTGTCGAAGTGTAAGACGGTAGACGAAGTGAAGGGATTTTGAATGAAACAGTAATGGCCTAATGGCAGTACAACTATATAATTCTGATGGAGGAACCAAGGACAACCATGAAGCAACTCAAGATGGTCGGTGTTCCTGTGGAGTTTCGAACAGAGCATCAACCGAAAGCGAGTTACTGAAGAGTATGTTTTACAGAACTCCTGGGAACACGGCTGTGAACCTTCGGGTTCCATACAATTTTGAGATATTCTTGAACAGCTTAGCGACTGGTGGCTTCTGAAGAAGGACCCAGCTCCATGGAATTAGTTTTGGTTTGTCGGTCGGTCGGAGTTTGTTTGTTAGTTAATTACATAGTTAATCAGTTCGTTAGATAGACTGTTGGTCGGTAGATGGATGACTCTTCGAATGTGCCTGTATATGGTTCATTGATATTTTAGGCTTAATATCTTAAACCTAAATTTAAAATGTAGTTCTAATATATTAAAAGGTACTGAGA